GGCCACCCATACTGGGCGTGGGCCCTGAGCATTTGAAGACATTAGGAGAATTTTGGGCGACTTTTCGTTGATATGGAGGCGTACAAGCCTTGTTGGCGGCCGACCATGACCATGGGCGCCTGGAATACTTGTAGTGATCATTTACAAAACATTTGACATTTGTCCGCCGTTTCTAAGTCACCCAGGGGACTTTTGAGAGCAAACGGGGCATTTTCAGGCGAAAATGTCAAATTTTCCGACTTTGAGCCAAAGTTGCGACCTCGGACGTTGTTTGAAAAAAAAATAGAAAATTTGTCCGTAGGATTCTACCAAAACTAAGTAGTTTTGGGGGGGTAACTTTTTCAATATCGAAAAAAGTGGAATGACGACTTACCCTATTAGATATATCATGCAGATCATATTATACGGATGCACACTGGGCAGCCAAGGTGGTGCCATGGCCACTCGCAGTGTGCATCTGAACCAGTAAAATAGTGAAAATATAGTTCAATAATCATGGACAGTGAGATAGCATATACAGCAAATACTAAATTATATTATATGGTGCATACTGGGCAGCCAAGGTAGTGCCATGGCCACTCCCAGTGTGCATCTGAAACAGGCGAACAGTGAAAACAATAGAAATAGTAGAAAGCAAATGGTCAAGGACAAATAGTTTAAAGTATAAATTTGTTGTGCAGGGAAAATATGGTACTCTGCTGTAAAGTAGGAGGAGTGAGGGGGATATTGTTAGACCTCATCTCATATTTTTCCTTCCGGGATGAAGAACTTGGCTGCTTGTAGATGTTCACTGCTGCGAGGTTGATGATCTTTCCGTGTCTTGTTTCTCTGTTCTGAGGGAGTACCACTGCCACGCAACAAATTGGTAGATCGAATTTTGATAGAACGTCCATAACCATGAAGTCTCTGAGAAGTGGAGTTGTCTGCACTTGATGTGGTACTTCAATGTCGAAGTTCACCTATACAACAAATGAAAGATAAATAATTCTGTAATCATCTTCAGGAAGAAGTTAATCTTAGCTAATTGTAATTTAAAATTATTTACCTGTATAAACTGAACGTTCGGCTTCATGTTGTTGTAGTACTGGATTGTGCTTACATTCCCATGTGTTGTAATTTCATAGTTTGTCTGATATATTGAAGAATGGTCTAATGCTGAATCACAGTGTATAAATACGTCTATGTCGTCAAATGTCTTTGTCAGGTTTACCAAGTATGATCCATATCCACCTGGAAAATAAAGAAATGTTATTTTAA